TCAGCTGTTCTCTCTGAAGAAGTGCCAGCCTTGCAGCAACCACTGCAGCTTCAGGCAGATGGGTGTTGAGGTACGAAATCATCAGCACAGGTGGATATGCCAGATCCTGATAAGTGCGAAAGGGATACCTCAGAGGAGACTTGTAAGACCAAGTGACAGCACCAGGCATGTTGGAAATTATCTGACATGATGTGTGAGGCTAATGAGAGGGATTTGTGATTGCACCACAGCTCTGCAGTCAAGATTTGATCTCCATCACTGTGTCAGGAGGCAGGTGAAGGTAAACTGGAACACAAGAACAGCACAGAATGGTTTGGGTTGGAAGGGACCTTAAAGATCCTCTTGTTCCAACCCCCTGTCACAGGGGGCAGTCCACCTTCCACTAGACCAGGTTGCTCAGAGCTCCATCCAACCTGGCCTTGAGTGCTTCCAGGGATGGGGAGTCCACAACTTCTCTGGGCAACCTGTGCCAGTGCCTCACCACCCTCAGAGTAAAGAATTTCTTATTAATATCTATTCTACCACCACCCTCCTTCAGTTTAAAGCCTTTTCCCCTTATCCTATCACTACATGCCCTTGTGAAAAGCCCCTTTCCACTACAGGGGAGTTTTGACTTACAGAATAAACTGACTTCAAATATCTCCAGAGCAACACCAACCCACACTGTACCATGGCATTACTGGCATTAAAATCAGTCATGGTGCCTGGGAATGAACACAAGGAGCTTTTCTCTGCTGCCCACTAATTAGATCCATTAGGGCTGAGCCCAATCAGTGGGATAGATGGATTATTCTTCAACCCAGTGTTGTGAATAACTCCCATAAATCAGCAGGTCACTACCAATAGCGTAAGTGGAGCCATTTCATCCATTTCTTGAGATCTGGCAATGCTCGGGTTTTTCTCTTGCAAGGAACAAGAGGAGCTGCAGTGAGGGTTGGGATAAAATCAAAACTGTGATCTGAACAGTGGTGATGTGACACCAACTGGAATAGAATCATAGAATCATAGAATCGATTGGGTTGGAAAAGACCTCCGAGATCATCGAGTCCAACCCTTGGTCCAAATCCAGTCCATTTACTAGATCATGGCACTCAGTGCCATGTCCAATCTGCGTTTAAAAATCTCCAGGGATGGTGAATCCACCACCTCTCTGGGCATGGAAATATTAACATGGAAATAAACAGCTTGTTTAGGAATGGCAAGGAGAGGATGATGTTTCTTCTGTCAGTGATGAGTAAAACATGCTGAAGACTCAAAGGTTGAGGAAACAGATTCCTTGGACCAGTGCAGTCAGTGATCAAAGGGAGAGGAAAAAAGGTAAATGCTGTTGTGGTAGGATCACTGAAGGAGGAAGATCACGTGGAGGAGGCTTTTTGTGACCAGCTAATGAAGGCACTCCAAGAAGTTTTGTTGGTACCCACAGCCATTTTGGGATGGGAGAGCACAAGGCTATCACACAAGCTCATGGAAAGGTTTTTATGCAAAAGGAAGAAAACACAGCCCAGGAAGAGCCACTCCATATTTTAACTGCATGCAAGAGGCCACAAACAATTGGGAGAAGAGACTTCAAAATGATCTTTGACAGGCTGGAAACGAGATGAGAAAGTAAAATAGGAAGTTGGCTGATAAGGACAAATACAAAATTTTACGGCCAGACTGCAAAACTTCTTGAGTGGCCACTATCTGGACAGTAATTGTGTGGAGTGGAAGGTATGACTGTAGTGCCAGGCCAAGCTCAATGAGAGTCAACAAGGCCCTGCTGTTGTGCAAAAAGCAAACATTGTGCAGGGTTATGCAAACAGGAATACAGTCTGAAGCAAACATGGCACCCTCGGCACGGCAGGCTTTGTTGAGGTACCTTGTCTCCCATCTGGAATGCTGCATTTCAAAAAAGACACGGCCCATGCAGGACGTGGCCTGAGGAGCACAAAGTGTAGAGAGAAACATGGCCCAGGAGTAGAGACTGAAGGAAGTGAAGTTGTTCAGAGAAAACAGAAACAGTCAGAAACCTTGCTCAAATCACCCACCAGTACTACAAGGATGACATAATCTGCTGCTCGCTCTGCACTATTCCCTTGGCTGAAGATGTTTTTTCTGTAAGGTGTTACAGCTGCCACCACACATGTGTTTGAGAACCCCAGAGTTGTCCCAAAGACCGAAGGCTTCCCTCCTTGGAGGCTCAGCAAGGAGGGCAATTAAATGTCTCTTTGTTGTGGTCAGCATGGTCACATGAAAGGGTAAAAAAATAATGAGCCAAACTCCTGCAGAACGGAAAGAATGGCCCAGACATTAGTGAGTATTACTTGGGCAGATTTTTGCCTGTCTTCGGAATTTCCCTTGCCCATCCCCAGTCCAGCAGTGCAACAATTAATGTTTCACTCAATCCCCCAGGCAGGAAGGCTGGCAGCTCACTCTCCACTTGTGCTTTGTCCAGAAATCAGTTCTCATGTCCTGCCTCAGAGTCCCTTTATCAAATCTCTTCCTCATGTGGCTCCAGGACTTCTTTTCCTCCAACACAAGAAGAATCCTCCTCGTTCACTAGAGAGCAAAGAAGAAGGAATGATGGAAGTTGCAGGACTGCTTTGATTCGTGAAGTTGTCTCCCATCTTTCTCTCAGACATGAGCAGTATCAGCTCTCAAGGAAAACAGGTGGGTAAAGGGAGGAGCAGTGGTTCCCCTTGGCTCTTCCCACAGCTCCCAGGCCCAGGAGGCAGGCTGGTGCACAGGCTGCAGTGGGAGCAGTTCCCTCCCTCTGCCTGGCCAGAATCCCAGATGGCTCCAGGAAGAAAGTGAGGAGGATCTGAAACACAATCCAGTATTCAGCTGCACAGGTAGCAAGACTTGAAATCAAGCCAGGTGCTGCGCAAAAGCACAGCAGGCCTAAGCCTGGCAGACTAAAAGCTTTTTCACAAAAAACAAGGAGGCAGGGACACCAGCTCCAGTGCTCCCTGCTGCTTCTCTCCCCACTTTGTCTCGTGGCTCACTGAAACCAGAGCAGAAACTACTTTTTTTCCCTCCAGACCCACCTACACGTGCAGTCTTGGAAACAGAGAGCTGGAAGTGGCCTATGGTGTCCTGAGCTCACAGAGCTCAGGAAAACAGTGCTCTGCAGGCCTTTGTCAGGAACGCAGGGGTTTGTCCCAAAGGAACACCTGGATCAGAGTAATCTTCTCTGCCTCGTGGGAACAGCTTGCAGAGCTCTGAAGGCTGTTAAGGTGGTTGAGTCAAAGGGGCAGCCACACACACGAGCTGCTCTAGGGCTCCAGCTCACCCATGAAGCTGCTGCCTCCCACCACTCCCCCCACCATCCCACCACTTCACAGCTGTCCTGTCAAAACAATCTAGTTCAAAAGCAAACACCAAAACTGAAATTATGCAGAAGTACTGAACCGGATGTTTATCAGAGCACTGAGGAGTCGGCACTTGCCTCTGAACAGAGAGATAAGCACACCCTTCCCCCCATCCTGCTTTTCATGTGCTGAAAGGAAGCTGCTGGCTACGGGACCTGGTCTGCTGGCAGCAGGGCTGGTTTGTTGGCTTCTACCATTCCAGCTGATTCCACACATCCAATTTACAGTTGAAACTTGAGATCGATTGGATTAACACCATTTCTGGCAGTAACTATCAGCAGGAAAACAGGGGCCTCCTAAAGCAGCTGTGCTGCTGCAGTACCACGGGACTGCAGGGTGGGACAGCGCTGTCCTCCCACCAGGGGCTCTTCTTGCTGAAGGTTTTAGTTTTGTAAGAAATAAAACATGACAGGGGATTAGAGGTTTATAATTGATGAGCACATAGCTGCCAAGGAAGGACTGTCTGTGTAGTTGAGGAGATGTGCTCTGCTTTCCATACATGTGAATGGAACAAAACGAAAACTGAAAAAAAAAAGAAAAATTATTTGGAGACACCCTCACCACTGTGACGCTGCAACACGGGTTGCCCAGAGAGGCTATGGACCTCCCATCCCTGGAAGTGTTCAGGGCCAGGCTGGATGGGGCTCTGAGCAACCTGGGCTAGTGGAAGGTGTCCCTGCCCATGGCAGGAGGGTGGAACTCACTCACCTTTAACTTCCCTTCCAACACAAACCGTTCTGTGATTCGTAAGAAAGCAACGTTGGCTAAACGGATGAATTCAGAAATACTTGTGTATCAATTCAACATGAATTTGATTTAATCTACAGGCATCTGGACGTAAGTTTGATATTTTAAATTGCAATTAATTTGCCCCAAGGGTAAAACTGTTCTCTCCAGTAACACAGCTCAGCTCCAGTCTTGCAATAAGTGGCAAACGCAGCTACAAATATTCTCTTCTGTCGCAGCCTTACCAGCTGAAATGAAACATTAACTTGGTTCTGTTTTTCAGCTGGAACTTTTCCTGAACAGGACTGTTTTTAGGCACAGTCTTTAGTGCAGATGCAGTTCAGAAGATTTACTCACACCCACCCCACAACTGCTATGAAAGCAGTTTCACTTCTAATGTATTAAAGACAGCAGATGCCGTGTAAGGTGCTGTTGTACAGGAGCAGCACTGGACACAGTCGTTAACACCCCAAGTTTTGCAGCTTAAGCAATGCAACACCAGGAGGAATCATCTTTAAAAGCCATGACCCCTTTTCCATTACTCATTTCTTCAATTAAACATGCTGCTTCTGTCAAAAATGAACCTTCTTCTGCCAAAAGTAAGCCCTCTTGTCTTCTATGGACCACAACAGAAACTTGCAGGATGTCTCAGCCAAAACCCTTTTCAATTAAAAGAACTCAAATCAAAACACCCCAACTCCTAACCCCAAGCTGCACTCTTTGGAATTCAACTTTATCGACTAAAGATGGAGGGGTTGGGGTTATTTTAGTTGAGGACATGCTTTATCAGCTGTAAAGAACAGAAGACAAAGAATTGCTCAAAAAATAGCTCAAGGGTGAAGAATTGGAAAAGTAGTCTATGTCCTCATCAGTCATTTAGAGAGCAGCATCCCATCTAAAGGAAAGGGATAATTTTTGTCAGACTCTTATAAAAAAAAGGCTTTATTTTGAACAAGTTTTCTCCATTTGGTTTTACAGTCTCAACATACATCATATTCATGGACAAGCAGCATTTTCACAGAATAAGAGCCAAATACAAAGAAGAGGAAGCCACTTGGGATGAACAGTTTCAACCTAATTGACTCAGACTTCAGAAAATCCTGTATGCTGTCCCTTATTTGAGGTAAAGGAATTCCATAAATTAAGATTCACTGTTCAACAGAAGAGTCAACAATGAAATATTTGGAAAGTAGGTACCTTGGGGAGGAGGGGAAAAAAATAAATCTTAAAAGACATTGTGAGCAACAAGAGAAGGGGGAGGTAGAATTTCCACTTGTGGGACTATCACATATAAATGTTTAACCAAATTGGAGCAGTTTAAATTTCAAATTTTATGAACTTTGCTGGTAGTACAGTCTTAAAATGTGAACCTAACAAGATATGTCATGAGCTTAGTTTATATGCTGAATGCTGTCACTAGGCACCCATTAGAATATCCAGTAAAATCCACAGCTTTCAGTGCCCATCCTGATGTATTCCAGTTATATTGTTAATTTTTGGGCAGCCATGCAATCAGACCATATAATTACACATTTGGTGGAATTCAAGAGTGCTTTCCTAAGTAAAATTGTATTGGAGAAAAGAGAGAAATCAAACTTCCACTATCTGTTCATGCAAAAATATACCTGCAGACTAACAGGATTTAGATAAACAGATTAAAGCCATTACAGGAACGCATCTGTATTGTTTTAAACTAACTTGTTTATAGGGCAAATCAGTTTGTGCCATTACTCTGTGTAGAAATTATCTTAAACCTTTTAAACAGTATCCACATTGTATTAGACACTGTTTGAAGAAAAACAAAACAGAAAGACTATCCTCACCTTTTGGAGTTTAAGATTTAAATTAGCTCACTAATGATGCTGAATCCCACGCCAAGAAAAAAAAATGGAACAGGATTAATATCCTGTAAACTGCAAGAACTAAATTATCAATGTGAAATTTCTAATGCCTAGGAGAAATACATTTCAGTTCAGCCATTTAATGCCAGGCACTGTTCAATTTTTTAAAGTAAAAAGAAAGCATCATTTCCTTTACAGGCTTAACAAAACATCACGTGGAGATGTCAAGCTTCAACTGCTTGAGTGGTATTTCTCCAGAAAGGGTCCTGGCAAACTTAAGTTCCACAGTGTCATTGGCCAAACCATCCAGTGGAAACAAAATAAATTCAAACTGAACCTGTGCAAGAATTGAGTTGTAAGAAGCAAAGCAGATTCATTTAGAAAAGCTTGTTTATCAATGTTATTTTGTTTTCCAAGTTCCAGTGAGCAAAATGGTTTTATACTTATATTAACAAACCAGCTTCTCTTTGCCTCTGTGTGATGAATCTATAGCTCTTCTATTTATTTTTTTTATTTAATAATCATCAAGTTGCAGATTCATCATTTAGCAAGTTATCTGGCTCAGAACTAATAAAGCTCTAACAAATTCTTTTCCCCACTGGAAAACTGTATCATATCACACAGTTTTGTGCACATAAAGTTATATCTTGCAGCAATATGATCGCTGACCAGAACTTCTTGCTATGTTACACTTTGAATAACAGACATGAACGAGGTGAAACTGCATCTCAGCCATTGTACAAACTGTCTCTCAAGATGTTCCAACACTTCCACCGGAGCTTTAACGCTTTGAGACACAACCTGTGATGTTCAGTGATTGTGCAATTCAAGCTCAGAAAAAGAAATATGAATTTGTGAAGAAACTGACATCTGTCCATTAACTTTTATCACGCTCCAGACTATCAGAAAGCAAGTAAAGGTGGAAGAAAAGATTTATTTTCCACTAGCATCCAGTTAGTTTCCTATGACCTTGAACACTTGCGAAATGCTTTTCAATAAATGACAGGTAAGAGAGCATAGATTAGGGAAAAAAAAAAAATCAATCAGTTAAGAAATTCGATCCTTGTATTTAGGACCTTGCATTTCCTTCAATAGCACTTCTGAATCATGTTGCATGGAGCAGAATTTTGGTGGTTTCTTTTTTCACTAAACTCTCACCTGCCTATTATGAATCATTGCAATAAAAATATTACTTTTTTCTTCCACGCTACACTAGGCAACTTTCCAGCCAAAGACACGGAATTTAGTCAAGAATTATAAAAACCTGAACTATGAACTCTGGCACAGCTGGGAACAGCCACTCAGCTACTCCAGAGTGCTTAGAAAATAGGCAGCCAGGAGTAGCAACTCAACTACTCCGGAGTGCTTAGAAAATAGGCTTTAGATTTTACACCAAGAAATTGGATTTATTTTAAATGCCACAGTCACATTGATAGACAGAGCACAGACTTTTGGTAACAAACAAACATACATTTTTGTAACTAAGCGTTTCTACTCGGTAAATAAATGCGTTTCGCACAGCCTTCCTCTTAAATGTGCCTAAACTAACCTAAATAAGCAGACAGCATAGCAGAAAAGGGAAACTTTGTGAGTAACTGTTTCTTAAGCAGTATATTATTTTTACTATGTATATAATATATTTTATATTATATACACATACATTTTCATCAACAGTTCAAATTATACCCAAATAATCCAAAAAAAAAAAAAGAAATCCAAACCAAAACCGGCGCTCCTCCAACACATTTGCCACCTTTTCCTCAGGCAGAGTTAATCCAGGTATTTGTCAAGATAGAGGAATGACAGTTAAAAAGACTCCCCCCAACAAGAAACAAGTTACACAAAGAATACTGTATCACTACAAATTTTTTTTTATTCAGAAGCCCATCTTTTAAAAAAAACGTCATTATGAACTTTGTTTGGTCAAACTACAACACTTTCTAGCAGACATACGGTAAAAATGGCATGGCTCAGAATCGACCGGATCTCTCGCGATCTCTGGACCGCCTCCTGTCGCGCTCGCGGCCTCCTCCGCCGCCGCCGCCGCCACCACGGCCGCGATCTCTGGATCTAGACCGGCGCTCGCGGGACCTCGACCTGGATCGATGCCTGCAGAGAAGAAGTCGGAACATTTTACTGTCTGGTCCCAGCCAGCAGTTTACTTGCAGTTACCACACTTAATTAAGGATGGGAGTAATGAGGGAGAAGAAAGGCAGCGTGTCATTAGAAGGGTTGGTTAATTGGCACTCGGGATGCGAAACCGCATGTTTACAAACTGCACAAACTCAGAATACCAGGGAGTCAACACACACTGGAACAAGAATGGACTGTTCCCTGCAGTCACCTGTTAGAGTGGATCTGCAAACCTTAAGGAAAGGCAGGGAGAGGAACCAAAGGCACTGTTACACAGCTGTTAATTAAAGAAGCAGGAGAAAGGGACACCTGCTTTGGCAGATAGGAACAGCTCTCAATGCCAAAAAGCCTAAAGCTGCTTGTAAGTCCACTCATATTAAATCAATTGCATTAATTAGCAATTAGAACTCAGTTCTCTGTGGTTGTTCCCCCCTCTTTTATCTACATCATGCCCTCCCCCCCAAGCCATCAGCACTGGCAAATCACCTTCCCTGCCTCTGAGGCAGATGAAAAATTCAGGAACAAAGCTAAACCCATCCACTCCACCCTGCTAACAGAGCTACTGTGAATTTATAGCGTATATGGCACTTGTCAATGGTTTTAAGCATTTCAGAAAAATTAATTGTATAAAACAAGTTAACAGTGCAGTTCTAAATACATGTAGAAATTACAGCAAAACTGAAAAAAACTCAAGGAAACAAATGCTAAAAGTCTTCAGTTTGCAGAATATTGTTTCATAGTGAGATGTTTTGGGGTGGGACTATGCGTGGTGACAAGTTTTACTATGACAAAGACACATACTTAACTCTTGCACACCACTCAGCTGGCCCAAATTACTAAATTCGCCTTTTATTCAAAAGTTCTGGTTTACCCTTCTTTTTCCTACTCAAAAACCTTCTGACACACTTCACTCTGTGCAGAACTACTTTCAGGACAGTCTAGTTTATACAACCTACCTGTGAAACCCCACTGACACAGAACTGGTATCTTTTATACCAAGCCTTACTGCTAACCTGTGACAGCTTTAGCTGACTTCAAAAAGGGCCAATAAAGACAAAACTGGATGGAGGATTCAGTATTTTATTTGTTTCAGCACATACTGAAATCGGGCTATGGATAAAACAATCATATTCCAAAGCCCAACACACAATTTTCTTGCAAAAAAAGGTGGTATCTTTTAATCAGCATTACTAAGTCTGAGAGATCCAGATTTGTAACTGAGGCAAATACAAAAAGCATGTTTTGTCTTTTTCATGAATAAATCAAACATCTTAAAAACTTACATTTAAGTTAATATTAATTGGGATGATTTAGGAAAAGTATTTAGGCACAAATACATGTGGGCTAAGCAACGCAATCCATGGTTTTGAAAGTTAAATTCATCCTCACAAATTCTGAGACACTGCCAATTAGAGACATTTATAGAAAAAACAAATCCACAATCCCAGGCTCCTTCTGTCATTGAAAGCAACCTACAAAATTGTGCTCTGTTATAAAAGCAAGATCAACAATTTTCCATGCCTACACTAAATAGCAAGGTCCTCAATGCAAGCAGACTGAATCCAGCTGCAAATGAACCATCATTGTAACACCAAGAGGTATAAGCCTTCCTACAAGGTACCTCACTAAATGAGTAATATAACAGAATGTACTTCTCACATTTTTTTACCATTAAACAAAATTACTATTCTTTTTTCCTACTGAGAATTCCTATCAAAAGGGTCACACTGTGAGGCTGGTATTAATAAACAGTGAGCTCAATACAGTGACTGCCTGTTACTAACAGTAAGAAATGAATACAGGCTAGAAAATTTTCCATTAACAGTTAAAAGCAAACAAAGTTGGGTCCTGAGTATAACCTATAGATATGCTTGACTGCACAAAATGCTGAAAGAGGCCAATCTGATGCTGCCAAAATGCCCATTAGCAAAGCAGCCTGTGTCTGACAGAGGCCATGAGCAAACACATCTAGAAGAGAAAAAAACGTAAGAGGCATAAAGTAATTTTTCCCAAATAATGTCCTTCTGTACAGTTTGCAGATCTGAGCCACACACAGGGCCTATATATTCAGTAAACTCAGTGAATTTTCCTCTCCTTCAACCCAGCCTTCTCCTAAAGCCACACCAACCTTGAGCACCCACAGCACTGCAGAGCAAGAAGCACCATAACCGTTTATTTAGAGACCTTCACCTTTGTTCTAAACCACTTGCCAGCTTTACTTGATGCCCTTCCATTGGCATGTACCAGAAGTGCATTAGAAAAAACAACATTAAGTTTAAAGACCTGCCTTCAGATTTTTCAGCAACTGATCATTAATTTACTCATTTAATGGTGTTTAAACAGAAACTCACTTTTTACGACGACGCCCGTACAACTCACGTCTTAACTCTCGAGAGATGGGCTTCAAATGCATGAAGTTGCAGAAACCTCCTCGTGTACACTCTCTGAAACAGAATTCAAGAGGCACAGTTAGAATTCCCAGCTCTACACTACCTGTTTGGACTTTTAGACACCCAAAAGTTAACCACCTCTAACATTACAACCATCGTTTACTGACAGTGACTCACTCCTAGGTCAAAAACCCAAAAAGATGGGAAAGTCCCACGTTTCACCACAGGTCCTCCACATCACAGTTACCTGAAGTGGTTTTCTTCCTACACTCAGTTACACATAAAAACCACACCCAAGCAACCTCCCTGCCTGTGCAAACATTTCTCAGACACTGCCAAGGCCAGAGGAAGTTGGTGTTTTACCCCATTTCATATTGACGGCAACAGGCCTCTCTGAAGTCAGTCACAGGCGAGAGCTCGGCATGGATGGGCTGCCCATTGAACCAGCGATTGTTCAGGTCAATCACAGCCTTTTCTGCATCTTCTTCACGGCGAAACTAAAAGCAAAAGTAACATTTTCTCACTCTATAGAGAAGTAACAGAAGCAGACTGAAGATTTGAAGATTCCCATCCAATCAGTTGTGCGGTATCTGAGGCTCAGGACCAGTCATGGAACTAGCAGCTACTTCAGAGTTCCTGGGACAGTCCATCAAATCAAGGGTAAATATGTCAGCTCTTTATTAACTGGGACTCAGAGCTAATCAAAACATTGATTTTCCTCTTAATTATGTTCTCTTTGGTCTTTCAAGTGAAAAAGTCAATAAAGGCTACTGTGCTTTCTTAGTACAGCTTTAAACCAAGAGAATGCTTAGAAGTACTTTCTGGAACACCAACACTCCTGATGTAATGGATTTCTTCAAACATTTAAGAGAAATCTGTAGGAGAACTGGAGCTCTCATTCATTTAAATCAGAACTTACAAAAATCTGATCCTGTTTTATGATGAATGTAAAACATTTGAAATGCCTTTTCACAGCTAACCACTTTCAAATCTTTAAAAACAACTTTTGGTTCTGATTACGACCAACACAGGTCTGAAAATACTTTCTAGTTAAAGGAATGCACAGTCCAAATATTCAAACAAACTCTGTCACACCTCCCCAACACTGTGCACACCCAATAAAATTCCTGCAGGTGACAATTTTGTACTGGTTATTCAAGAGATACCAACGACTTTTAAAAGCTAAACCCGAGTGCTCCAGTTTGCACCTTAAACCATGCAGCTAGTACCAAATATTACAGGATTACAGGATACTGTGTTCAACTGGAAGTTAATAAATAAATGCACCTGTTGCAAATAAACCTTTCATAATGAAGTGCTTAAAGGGCAGCATGATGGCAAGACAGATCCCAAATTAATCCTGTCAAACTAAACAGTCCAGCAGTACAGTGTTGATAACTGTGCTAAAAAAACAAGTGCTAATCTTTCTGAAATTACAGATTTTGACTATCAAGAAGCTTTCTCGTAATTTATTAAAATTTCTTTCAGATTCCTTTCACATTTTCACTCTACTTTAAATCGCGATGTTGGAGAGCTTCTAAAATCTAAAGCATACAGCAGCTTTTAAAATTATAAATGAACAAACCCCACCCCCAGCAATTACATAAAGATGCCTCTTTATCCTACCTTTACGTATACATTTCCAACTAGATGATCTCCAAGGTTATCGCACACGTTCATCTCCTCAACTTCACCGTATTTCTCCTCCATTTCTGTGAAGACCTCCTAAGCACAGAGAAACCCATTACAAGCTTGCAGCACGTTAGCTCTAAGTACAGCAATGTTGTATTTAGCTGTAGGTATGAAATACAACTTTCCCTAGGGGAAAAAAGCGAAATCACCGTGTTTTTTTACATTTCTGATTTTAAAGTTAGTACTTGCTTGGCCTGTACCGTGTCCATCTGTAGGTACAGCACTAACAAGATACAATAAAAACCTATGGAAAACATTATGCAAGCAGCATTTACACAACACATAAGATGCACTGAAAACACAACACATAAGCCTTGATGCTATAGTTTCACTTTCTTTCTGTAACAATAATTAAGTATATTTTGAATTCATAGAAAGGAAGCAGGTTACAGAATCGAAATGCTACATCGCTTAAGCTGCTGATTTTGATTAAATTCTATTTCAAACAGTAAAGTTAAAGCCAAACTAACCAAAGGTTATACCAGGAAATATTTAGCACTGCTAAATAAATAAAGTTGTCAGTTTTATATGAACACCTGAGGAAATAAGTGCTTCTGTCTGAATCCACCTCCCTGTGCTACGCACTACATCCATTTCACTTGTTTGCAGTACAGGTCCACTAACACTTTAATGCATTTTCACATACCTCAAAGAATTCATCATAATGTTCCTGCATCTCAACATCGCTCACAGCACCTGCAAAAGTCAAAGAGTCAGAGTGATTAGAGCCTGCCAATAAGGAAGAAGAGATTTTGATCATACTACAAAACAATCTAGAAGGCCGTCTGGAGCATAAGAGACACCATATAGCATGGAGCTAACTAATAGGAATATTAAAAAATAAGGATGTGTGAAGAGCTTTAAGTCCCCAAAGTATCTGTCAAAACATTACATTGATATGATCAAATCAAAGCAAGTTTTAATCAGAGCCAAGCTTGTATGCCACAAATTCAAAGGAAGGGGAAAGGAATTCCTTTGAAGTATCACTTTAAATTTAATGTACAGTCCCACTCTCTGTCTACTAACAATTTTACCTAAACAGAAGGCAAGTGCTTTGTTACATGTCCATATTTTAAGTATTATTACAGCTTAGTGTTCCTCTTCCTAAAGGCAGAATTTTATGTCCACCTCTCCAGCATATCCACTAGAATTTGAGTTCACAATGTAACATAGCCCAGAATTATTTTTTTTAAATTTGCTCAAAATAGTTATTGAAATGACACACTTTTCTCAGTGCCCTCAAAGCAGGGTACCATAATGCTTTGCAAGAGAGAACAATTTTCTATTTTAATTTTGAATATAATTTAAGCTTTTCTGTAGTCCTGCAGAACATCTTTTAGTGCAAGAAAAGCCAGCCACATATTCAGGTTAGATTATTTTCATGCTCCAAGCTGGACTTTAAAAATGAGTGCTGCTTGCCTGCTGCTATAAAAACCAATGTACGTTCGGCTTATTTTTCAAAGTATTAAAAGTATAAAAATGTATTTCGTTTATTTCTTCCAGTCTACAGCAGTTTAAACAAGCTGTATACATTAAAGTCTAATGTATTAGCTCTTCAGCAGTTAAGTGGCTTATTAAGATCAAGCGGAGCAGTTTTAAAACAAACCCCGCATTTTATGCTAGAAAAATATGCTGGTGTTTAAATTAGAAACATTGCTGCTTTAGTTCACAGAACGTGAAAGACAAAAATCTGAGCCAATAAAGCAAAGTTTATTCACTTTCAGGCTGCTATGAAAAAAAGATGCTTTGGGCTCAGTCATTTTTGGCTATTATTACCACTTGGACAAAGTTTACATTTTTCTTCAAAGGCTCTAATATTAACCAGTCACATTCTCTGGAACTGCACGTCCTGTTCTTCCACCCAGCTCACCTCCAGAAGAGGCTAAGGAGCATTTGGTTTATAGTTTAGGCTAACAATATCTCTGCATTTGAAACGTTATTTGCTTTTAAGAAATTTCTCCTTCCTCGTGGTTATACTGCAAATTAAGGAATATCAAACATTAAACCAGTATTTCTAGGCAGTTTAATACTTAACTATATTCTCAAGGTTCTGCCAACACCACTGATAACAGCTTACTAATACCTAAGGATTTTTTTGTTGTTGTTGTTGTTTTTAAAGGTATCAGACAGGGGCTCTGTGAGCCACATTGGGAATAACGACTTGTTACCAGATGGACAAGTGCCAAAAACTTTTAAGGAGATTTCATTGTCAAATTAGGAGATCATAAGCAACAGTTAATTAATGACTATTCAATGTCCTTCTGAAGTGGGAAGCATACATATGCACAGGCTTTACAAACATCCATATTATTCCAGGGCTACTGGTATCTGAACCTTGAGAAGCCCCAATTACTAATTAAAATACTCAGGAAAACTATTGCTGTTCAAAACTAAGGTTAATCCTCTACGACGGCAATAGAAAGGAAGACAGTTAAGCAACAACACAAAGCATTAAATAGCTACCCAAGTTATCCATTGAAAATACATGCAGTACTTAAATAGGGACAAATACCAAAGTAACAAGGAGCCAGGAGTTCCAGCAAACCTACTGCTTGCAGAGCTCCAGCTCTACCCCAGGAGGTATAGTGAGGCTCTGGTACACAGCTACTCGCTTGTCACGACAAACTAGAGTTGGATACCAGCATTTGCAACACTGGAGAATCTGTTCAAGACTCTTGCAGCTGTAAATCTAAACAGCTCCACAGACCACACTGCTGTCACTCTGTGCAAATTAGTTACCAGCGCATTGAGAGTTTAGGGAGAGAGTGGAAATACCCAACTGGAAATTTTGTGGTCTACTGAAACAGCATTAACTACTAAGCATCTGCAACAAGAAAGCCTACAAACCAATAGAACTGTTTAAGCATCTAGACAAAATTATACAGCATGTCTAGTGTGACAAAAACTCAAATCACTTAATTGAGCCATTATTACTTTTAGAAGCAAGAGAGGCAGTGTTGACTTTTAAGTTAGTGGCTGATTTCACAGGGCACTTCTAATCAAATGCTGGTAACTAATCTGAACTAGTCTATAATCCAACAGTCAAAAAAAAAAAGGAATAGCCAAACAAAGCTTTATTACCACACAGTCAATACTCACTTCAACAAGAAATATTAGTTAGAAAAGAACACCGACCCTTTTTTGGTCCTAAAACTTTTTTTTTTTTAAATTTTATTCTAATATTGATGATTCAGTTACACTGATATATCGGTAATCGCTGATCAGTCCTGGTCATTAACTGCTGCCAGTCTCACAGGAGGTGCGTTTGCTTTTATGCCCATTTTTATCTGAGGAGGAGTCATTAAATTACTTCATGACCATACCCAAATGCCTTCCCCTCCTCAAAAGTACTTTTAAAAATATATTTTCTTAGGTAAACGTGCCACTTGGCTTTGGAATTTGAATTTTCAAAGCATGGGAGGAATTTTAAGCACGCACCCATCCAAAAAGGACAGCTGCCAGAAGGGAAGCGTTTGTCAGTCATGGTATATTCCTTCCCAAGTGCACTCCCTAAATGGAAGTTGCATTAACCCGGGACAAATTTCTGCATGCAGTCTGAGAAGTTTCAAATTCAAGTTTTCTTAATGTTTACAGAGCAGGAAATTTGTTCTGGACGAAGTCAATGTGTCATTGTCCTGCTCTTTAGACAGTGGAACTTAATGGAGAGCACAAAACATACAGAAAACCATTCCTAGGATGCAGGCAACTGGCAGGGAGAAAGGTGACAGACAGGAAGACAGCAGTGCAACCAAGACTGCTTCACTGGGGAAGTACAATTTGAACCCTTTTTGATTTAGCAGTTGGTATTCAGATTCCCCTCACAGTTTTGGGAGTAGGGGGGAAGGTGAGTGGGACAAAAAAAGTTTGGGGTTTTTTTTTTCCTCGTTTTTTTTTTGTGTTTGTTTTGAACACATTTAACGAAACGTGGTCAGTTTGATCTGTTAAACTAAAATGGCAGACCAGCTTAAGTCGACACTGAGCTCTGACAATCAAGCCCAGGGAACCAGTGAAGGAACTTGTATGAACTTACAGCGCAAACCGTCAGCAGACTGGGAAGAGTTTTGAGGGTTACGGTAAATGTTCAAGAGGGCAATGGTCTGAAATACAAAACGCAACAACTTTATATTATGGAAAATAATTTTAACAAGAAACTGGTTTCCTTTAGGGTCGCTTTGGCCGAGTCTGTGCTGAAAGAGAGGTGGTTATTCTCTCCCAAGAAGGAGAACTTTCACTTAGCTGGTGACCTTTCTAAATCAACCTAACACTGTAAAGTAATAGAGATCTCATGACACTCCATTATTGTATTTTATTCCATTCACCAATATTACTACAGAGGAGTTTTGCATGAATTCAGACAGCTCTGTAATAGGTGGCATCCACACACCATTTACATTACAAGCATAGTAATTCAAATTTGGTTTTACTGAACGATTTCTTAGCAGGAAAGGAAGCAATACAATAATTACAGCATAACATGAAATCTCCATTTTCCTAAAAAAGTTACCTAAAAAAGTTAAGATGAAAGAAAACCCAGTTCTGGGAAACTTACCGTACATCACATATATGCCTAATTTTTTTTTTTTTGTTGTTGTTGTTAAATCAAGAATTTGAGAAATGTCTGCAGTTTAACCCTTTAAAAAAAATGCAGTGTTACTGAGAAATCAAGCTTCACTTTGGAACACAAAAAGGGAACCTGCATCAAGTCCAATTTATGCAGCCACTTATGCGCTTGGAATCGCACACGTTCCCCAAATTCTTGATCTGTGCGCAAGAAGAGTTCCATCACTTGTCCTGTTTGCAACAGCTTTATGTCAGCAGCTCAGGAGCCAACATTATTTTCTCATAATTAGGAGTGGGCTCTTTAACACCATTCTTTAAAAAAATTTCTCCAACTGTGGGACTTACAGTGTGAGCCGTCAGCCGTCTGTGCACTGTTTTGGGGGTTACGATAGATGTTTTGAATCAAGATGGTCTGCGGGGAAAAAAAATAAAAAGGGGAATTCTACTGGCTGCTGTGCATATAATAGACAATTGCAAAGAGACAACTTGTTTGCAAACAGCTAAAAGTCATATTTTTATCCTTAAAGACTTCCTTTTGTATTTGCAGAGTAGCTTCCAAAATTGCATCCAGACCATCATATTATGAAAACAGCTTTAATTAACCACCAAGAAAGAGCTGCGTTTGTCTCAACAGCTATCCTCGAAATGGGAGGTGTGAGGCACAGTAACCTAAAATGTCACACGAGGTGTTCTGGAGATGCCTAAGCCCTCGAGACCAGATTCACTACTGCCAAGTCTAGGGGGGAAAAAAGTAGTGTTATGTGCACAGCAGGTAATACATAATGCCACAGTCTCCAAAGTGCTACACCAGACAGTAAGGCCTTTAGGCAACAGCTACGTCTCGTTTTGTGCGTCAGGAATTTCTTGGTGGAATTTCTGTTTAAATAATATAATAGCATCATAGGTTCACATGTTTCCGATCCTTCAAATAAGGACAATATCCTTTTAGCCCTTCTGCTTTTTACTTGAAGAATTAGCCCAGGCAGACTTGAAACCTTACATTTGTACCGTTCTTCTTAAAATCAAGTTGTCTGAAAAAACAAACCATGTTTAAGTTAGTAAACTAATATTACAAAAAAATTCCAAACGTCCATATCACTGTAAGCAGCTCAAAAATTGAAATTTGATTACTTAAAATACAAGCTCAATGTTAGTCAGTATGAATGGCAATCCCCAAGTAATTTTAGCTTACACATTATTATTAGTCACAATAAGAATTCAGAGTTTAAAGGAGTCACAGGACCAGCAATGCCACACCTACACATGCTGCCCATTTAACACATTAAAAAAAAAAAAAATCACATTTAAAATCACACACATTTTCTAATGGGTACAGTCATACCAACCAAAGCTTTGTGCTTCCATGGCCCAGGTTTAAACTACCCATGATTTAGCCTACAATCGGAGACCGCCAGAAACATGCATCTAGTTCTGGTGTTCCTGCTGACTGGGGGTAATTTGATCACCCTGGATAGCATGACCTTTCCTAACACAGCTCTTCTGTAAAGTAGCTGCACCAGCAAGAGCTGCACAAGGTAAAAATGTTGGGCTGAAAACTTCCCATTAGTGAAGTCTCTGTTCTTCTGTTTTCTATCACAGCTGATTAACCACCTGCACACAAATAAAGATTTCTGTGGTGAGCCCTGCACAGTGCCAGGTACGGTGCTGTGCAGTCCCAGACAGCCCCAGATCAATGGGACATGCCTGACCCGCTTCAGCTGGCACTGCTAAACAGAGTCCAAAGCAGAGCTTAAAGCTGCACCGACACAGGAAGCTGTACTTGCAAAGTTTTGTTGTTAAAAAAGGATTTAGGGGTGGTGGGGGCTTTGTGTTAGGTTTTTGGTGGGTTTTTTTAACTTAAAAGGTAACTACTTGTCTGATTTAGAAATATATTCTAGTAGCCAGTGACCTAAATTCAGGTCTCTATATAACCAATCACATTTCAGCAGGTGCTCCATGTAGGTCAGCAACACGGAATAGTTTTGAAAATGGACAGTATTATTTTTGAAATAAAATATCTGCATTAAAAATCATTAAATTCCCAGAAGTAGGGAAGTGTTTTTGTAGCTGAAGTACCAGCAGCAGCCCCCATGGATAAGCAACCTTGACATTCCCCCCTGCCCACTCACAGTCTAACTTGAGGAGCACCACAGCTCTGAACTTGTCACATGGATAGTACTTGCCTTCCTAATTTCTCCCCAAACCAACATCAGCCCACCATTCTCACCAATTCTGCTCCAAGGCAGATGAGATGAACTTGCAGAAGATCTATTCTTATGTAAACTTTATCTTTGTAGACTGCTGATAAGGCAAGAACTTTCAAAGGCACTACTTCTCAAGTGCAATATTCCCAAAGAAATCTATTTATCTGTGTACCTTGACAATCAGCAGTGATAGACAGAGGGAAAACAAAGTTCTCCAAGAATGTAATTTGTGAAAACTATAGAGCTCACAGTAATAAAAACTTTGTCACTCACTGCACTTTTTAAAATTTATTTTTATTTCTGGCAGATATGCAGTCACACATAATGTCTCTAACAATATTCACTTAGCCAAAGATACAATAATCTGTCAGGTCAAGTGACAATTCACCCTCAGCAACCAGGCAAGTTGTTTTTTAATAACCCATTTTTACAACATTCAAAGGAAGTATGCAAGTCACTCTTGAAACTTAAGAGCCTGGGTCAGAGAGCAAATGTAATGACAGATGAGTGACTTCTATTCACCAATTAGTTTACTTCTATTATATGCATGAAAGATTAAAGTTCTCATCTTTGGGACAGGTGGAACTTGCTGCCATTGTCTGTGCTTTAAAAAATCTGGGATGGTTTAAGTGCCTGAACACCACTGAGAAGGCACACTCACCTGAAAGTTAGCACTGGTTGGTCTCTACTACAGGCAAGCTTACAACAGCATCGCTTCCTGCAGCCATTAAGGGTGACAGGAGATAATTAGAAATGCTGGGAGAAGTAAATGGAATACCCCCAAAAAAGCAAACACCCAGATAAACTGGGGCCAAAAGTGAACTAGTTAATCTGGAGCTCGCTAATTATTCACTCTTATCTAAGAATCTACATTTTAAAGAAGCCAGAATATACTTCCATGAGAAAGAGGAAACAAAAGGGAAACAAACCTGGCTAAATGTTGGTTTGTTGTGCAATCGAGAACATCTGTCTCCATGGCGACAAGCTCCAATTTTGAAATAAAATGAACAGTTGACTCTGCAAGGGAAAAAAAGAATAAAGTAGTTACTTACTGGAATAGAAAACATTAATATGCAAAAAAGCATATGCCCTAAGTGTCTTTATCTTGATGTGGAGAAGTAACACAGAAAGGAAATCCACACCAAAACTGCACAGGGAAGTATTACAGCAAACCTGTCCACACTCACTCCTTTTCCCCCTGACTTACAGGCAGGATCTGACTGATTTCACCCTGAATGGTTTCATGATCCACCACACACAAGTGATCACTGTTTTACCCTTCTGGTTCTCCATCCTTGTCTCTACACCAGTTTCAGTGGGTGCTGGGACAGGAAGTGACGTGAAAAACGGTCTGAAAATTTACACTACACGAGCTCTGTGTCTGAGTTCATGCAGCCCCTGCTCCAGGCAATGAAACCTGCTTTAGAGCTGACACAGTTGCACCTCTCTCATGTTTTATAAACCACCTGTTTAAAGTTATACTCTAAGGGTAATTCAAGCTACTGCCAACACAGTACTGGAAATAAAGTCAGGGAAGAGAAAAATCCTGTTAGAGAGAGAATACAAAGAAGCAAAATAAATTCATTTAATGAAGCCATTTCCATGAATATAGTCAATAATTTTAAGAGTAAGCTTTTTTTTTTTTTTTAAACCACAAGCTTTCCCTGAACGATCCATTTCATGGCACCTTCAAAACAATGCTGGTTTAGAAATGCCAGTAAAACTCTCACAAAAAGGTGTAACTCACACGGAATGATGGAAGAAAACCATAAGGAGTTTAAGTTACCTTGACAGGGAAATGCAAAATTCTGAAGAGCAAGAAAGCTACTATGGGCTATATATGGGTAAGTGAAATATCAGAACTCTCCTGGAAGAAAGATTATCATTCCCGTAGTTAACACTAATTATTTCCACACTCCTGTGTAACCAACATCAACTCAACGAGGGGAGAATTATTTAGGTACTAAAGCACATCTGATCTCTAGCAAAACATTCTACTGTAAATTTACAACATGCTTACTCTTCATTATGTTTTTGAAAACAAACACTTAGCATTATGATATACTTACTGTCTTTTCTGAACTCTAACCTGAAATAAAAAGAAATACCTAACTATAAAATTTCCAACAGTGCTTCCAACTTCAGCACCTTCTGGAAGGTTCCGTTTGCTTTTTCTAAACAGAAAATAAGAGCTGCACAGGAATTTCGTGCCTGATTAATACTGTGGAACTGTACTGCATTATATTCATATGTATCTCCTTTGTGAGAGAGGACGCTACAGTAACAGAGCTCAAGAGAGGCTGCCGATCTGCTTTCCCGGAATGGCAGCACTACAGAGCAGAGCAGAAGCCCCATGGCCAGGGGCTGACAAGAGTAATTTAGTCCAGCAGCACATCGACGCCCCCTTTTCATTTTTACGAGTGGAAAAACACGCCGGTTTGGTCAGGCCGGTGGTGACCAAATTTTCGTTAGGAGGGTTTTGTGTGTGTGCTTCCAACAACCAGAGAAACTAGAGGCGTTCCCGGACGCGTGGAAGGCTGCAGGCAGAAGCCTGTAGGATCAGGATGCAGCAGTCGGGGAAATCCTCCGCACCCTGGGGAGGGGGGAGAAATAACCAGTCGCTGTCCTTGCAGCAGAGCGGGAGCTCTCGGGCTGCTGCGAGGCGCAGGGACACGAACAAAAGGGGAACAGGAGGAGGAGGAGGCGCTTTCTGGCAGGAGGCGGCGGGAAGCTCCGGCACCCAGCGGGCCCGGCAGGAAGGCGCAGCGCGGGGGAGACGTGGAGGGAAGGACGGGGGAGGGCGGTAACCGCACCACGATGGCGCGGGCCACACCCGCATGGCGGCGGGGAGGGGAGGGGAGGAGGAAGAGGGAGAAGGGAAGGTCCGAGAACGGCCCGGCCCGGGAGGGGGGACTGGGAAAGGAGGGGATGGAGGGTTTTTATTGGGGGGGGGGGGGGGGGAGGGGGCGAAGAGCGCGGCGGGGCGGGGGCGCGCGCGCGGGGAACGCGGCGGGGGCCCCGGCGCGCTCCCCCCCTCCTCCCGTTCCCCCCGCCCGGGTGGCGCGCGCCGCGCGCACGGCGCGTTCCTGTAGTGGGGGGGGGAGGGGACAAGAGCTGAGGGAGGCGATTGGCGGGGGGGGGGGGAAGGGAAAAAAGGGGGTGGGGAGGCGCGGCGCTTCGCTTTCCCTCTTCCGCCGGCGTTCACGCGGGATTGGGAATAGGCGGGGGAACCAGCCCTGGCGGTGGCTGAGGCCGGGAGTGAGCGAAAGGGGCCGGGGGGCGTTCCCGCAGGGAAAAGTGGGGGGGGGGCGGGGGGGGGGGGAAAGGGAAGCAAGGGCGGACGCCGCGATCGAACAAGGCCGCGCGTCCCGCGGCAACCCGCTACGGGCCTCCGGTCCCTCCGGCTCCTCCCCACACCGCGGGGCAAGGGGGGGGCAACCGGAGCCGGGGGGAGGAGGGGATGGGCGGGCCATCCTTGTCCTTCTCGTGCCGAAGATGCGAGGCCAGGTCTCGCCATCTCCACCGCCGCCCTGCCGCCCGCCGCACGCGGCGCCGCGCGCGTCTACAACGGCCGCGCCGGAAACGCCGCTCTGAGGGGAGGGGGAGGCGGGCGCGCGCAGGGGCGGCGGCGGGGACGGACTCGGAAGGTTGAGGGTTCGAGTCCCGCCCGCGCCGGGGGCGCTGAGGGGACGGGGATGTCCTGGGGGTCGTGACAATGATGGAATAAAGGGATCCGCTCCAAGGAGGGGGAAGGTGCACTTTGAAGGGGTTTAAATAAAAACCCCCGAAGGGGTTTATGTAAAAAAAGTTGGATAAAGCTGCAAAGTAAAACTTTCGTTAAAACTAGAGTGCAGGGTAGGACCAAATTCTTTCTCATTATTTTTTTGTGCAAGGTAGGACCACATTCTGTCTGATAATTTTTGTGCAGGGTAGGACCAAACTTTTTCTGATCATTTTTTTTTGTGGAGGGTAGGACCAAATTCTTTCTGATAATTTTTTGTGCAGGGTAGGATCAGACTCTTTCTGATCATTTTTTTTTGTGCAAGGTAGGACCTAATTCTTTATGATATTTTTAGTGCAGGGTAGGACCAAACTCTTTCTGATCGTTTTTTTTTTTTTTTTTTTGTGGACGGTAGGAACAGATTCCTACTTGCAACAGGGACGGTGCTCCAGTTTTAAAATCACGTCATGGAAGAAACTTACTTGCTTTGCTCAAGACTGAGAGCTCAGTGCGCTACAAGTAAAATTCATCCCTTAGATATTTTGGAATTCCATGAAGCATTACCCAATAAGCTTTGTAGTGCCACAACCCCACTTGAAGTCCACAGGAATATTCATAGAATCACAGGATGGTTTATGCTGGAAGGGACATTAAAGATCATCTGGTTCCAACCCCCTGCCGTGGGCAGGGACACCTTCCACTAGCCCAGGCTGCTCCAAGGCGCATCCAGCCTTACACCTCCTGCAATTCCTCATTTGGATTGAGCTGATTCAAGGATGCTGTGTCCTGTCACAGGACAGGGACAGTCCTCTGGGCACTGCTCTATGTCCTTCCATGCTATTTCTGTACGTTCTCTTTTGGGATGCAAGGTTCACTCACCTCCTCCCTGCTACTTCCAACAAACTTGCGCTGATTTTTGCTTTAGTGTTTTTGTCAAAGCCTTAAGGTAAAATATGTCAAAATATATTTTTCCCGGGGAATCAAAATATACTTTTCCTTAGGAATTAAAATATCTTTTGAATATTTGAAGTGCACTGGGTTCTCAGACCTTATCCTGTGAAGACCCAATTCACTTTAGATTTCCCTTTTTTTGGTATATTGCTGAGGGTAAGAAGCATTCCCCAGAGAGTATCTTTAACTTAGGCCCTGTAGGTCAGTTGTTGTGCTGGAGCCTTGCTGACCCTGAGATCCACGTTTCACAGACAAGTAACTTCACCTGGAGATGCCATTAGAAAACAAACCAGCTGCTCCCATGTGGGAAATACGCCCTTGCACGTGACAAGCAGAAATCTTACAATGCCACAAACCCTCCTGTTTTGCTCTGCCTTCTTAAGGCCCAGTGTCATCACTGGATATCAGCTAAAAAGTGGCGAGGACAAAATGGTGCTGCCCAGATTTGGTTTGGAGGTAAAAGAGGTGAGAGAAAAAATAAAGAGGGAAGCAGCCAGTTTTAAGAGAGGCAGAGCAAGGAGGAAAGGTGAGGGAAAAAAATGGTTGTGAAACAAAAGACAGCAGTGCTTGGATATAGAAAAAGGAATGAAGCAAACACAGAAACACATCCAGGGGGGTCAGTACATAAAGTACTTAGTGCATTCACTGGAAAATAGCACTTTCTTGTTGCCAGTGCCCAGAACTCTGCATTAATTAAAGAAGTACCTGGAGTTCCAGGCCAGTGCACAGGACTTGGTTTCTCAGGTTAAAGGGATTTTTCGAACAGTGCATATGGAGGGATAATTAGTGACCCACAGCCAGCAATCCCTTTGTACAATTTTGCCAGCTCTCTGCACCTCTTGGAACACGGCACAACCTTGAGGAAAGAGAACCAATTTAAGATGTAACGTCAAAAAATTAATCTGAGAAGGCAGGTCGTGCACATTAGAGCAGAGCTGTAGCTGGTAATCTCATCTAATCTACTTCCATGCCTAGACTTCAGTAATCACCATGGTTATATAAGCAGATCTTATCAAAGTTCCTTAATTATAGCAACCCTTGTAAATGCAGCACAGCACAGCAGGAAGGACTCTGCCACCAAGCACAGGGGGACAGACCCTCTCTGAGGCCTCCAGGTCACTCACAGTCGAGCACTGATCACCATCAGGGGTGTGAGGGCCCTGTTTTGATGCTGTGGGTGGAGGTAAATTGAACTGTTCTGCTATGAGGGGCAGACAGTGGGGTGGAATGAATGGCAGGGAAGAGGAGAAGAAATGCTGAGTCAACACAGACTGCTGAGCATAGTTGGCAGATTTGCGTGTCTTCAGGACACTTTTCCTTGGAGAGTTCTTGAGACCCTGATTAGGAACGCTGCTGATTTGTTAACTATTGCTGTTACAGAGAGATTTACATTTGTAAACCAGGAAAAATTAATAAAGCTGCAGGGCTTTCAAGTTCAACACGAAGTGCCACAGCATTTTGGTCCACCAAGCTGCTCTGCCATCTGGGGTCACCATGGTTATGGCAATTCCTTTTTATAAAAAGCCCTCTCTCCATGCCCAGAGGGGCTTACAAGCTAGACAAAAGTGCCATCCTACTCCCTTTACGAAGGAAATATAGAAATCAGGTGATTTTCCCAACATCAAGATGGACAGATGTTTGGAATCAGGATAAAAATTTAGAACAGCCTTGGTGGTTCAGACAGACCTCTTTCCCCAGCCGTGAGATGTGCAGCCCCAGAGCTGTCCCTAATTCATCTCCCCACTGTTGCATACCCCAAGGGCTGAAAGAATTGACTGGAAAGTAATCAAAAATCCATCTGACAAGCAAATCCAGCTACTCCTTCAAGGAAAATTCCTCTCTGCGCTGTCCCAGGCAGTTTGGATGGAGCATTTTGTGGGAGAATCTGTCATCTTTGGACCTTTCTGAGTACTCTTGGAAAATTCTCCAGGTATTGCCTGCTGCCCCCAGGTACTTTGTGGCAGTCAGAGGACCAAGAGGACAACAAGGCAGTGAGAGTTTGGTGGAAACCTTTTGTTATATCTCTACTCCAAGGACTTGTCTGGTGCCCCTTGAGCCCATACAGGCTCTGTGCGTGTGAGAGCAGCTTGCAGATCTGCTGTACCTGTCCCATAATTTTGTTTGTTTTCAGCTTGGCTCCAGCTGGCTTCATTTGGTTGTGGTTTCCTGGTGCAGCAGGAGCTTGGCTAACATGAGCTCAGTCCCAGTATAAGGGGCAGGTTTCCCTCCACCCCTCCCAGCGCCTCTTTTTTTCATCTCTCATACTTGCCTGACTGCATTGTAAGCTCCTTGAACTGGCTCAAATGGCCAAACTGAATCATTTTATCTTGCAATCAGAATTTGCAAGGGGAAATGAAGCTGCACTGCACAGATGGGAGCACAGGGTGAGAGGAGGGATGGAAATCAGGGAGAAGGAGGAAGACAGAAGGCTTCTCCCTTTCTGTAGCAGCAAAGTTGTTCAGCTCAAGCCCATCACGGGACTGTACCCTCACAGTAGAGCTTTTTTATCAGCAGATATTAAATCTAAAAATAGGAGGTGTTTCTGCCAGGGAACCAAAGCAGGAATATCAGAATGAGTTGTTGTAGTGAGGTGGGGAAACCTACTGCACATTCAATTTGCTGCCTGCAGTTGAACTCTGCTCACAGCTCCACGTTCACAAAGACAGGGATCATGCCAGATTTATCCTGAAATATGTTTACAGAGGATGTTTTGTTTAGGAAAGCAGCCCAGTCATGACAGCTTGAAGAAAGGCAAGGCACACTACACCTACAACAGGCTTCTTGCTGCTTCCCTGTGCCAGACAAACCTCCCCCAACTCCAGGGAGTTCTCCTGGGCCAGGTGTGGGTAAGAAGTGCAGGTGAACAGGCTGTGGCACAGGTACTCAGCTACTCAATAGGTGCTCTAAATCTTTCCTGCATCACTGTGCCCTGTGGCTTGGC